TTGTTGGGCCAGATGTTGTCCACGGACTAGGGGATTCGTTAGTAATAAAATATCACCTAGGCCGATAACAACATACCATGGCATGCGATAGCTCGAGAGCGCTGGGATCCAAAGTTCGTATGATCCTGAGCGGTTTGCGCGCGACAATGTCCTTGACGTATTTGCGGCCGATCTCGGCCTTGAAGCGGTACATCACCCATGTCTCGGCAAGACCTTCCACACTTTCAGGCATGGAGCCTTCAAGTATCACATCAAAAGGGTACTCATAGTTGCCTGCAGGGAGGACCTCGGTTTTTCCTTTGCCCGGGTCTCGAAATCTCCAGGTTTTCTCGTAGAACACACGCTCGCGCCATGACTTACGGCCACCGGCAGCTGCACTAGATGGAATTTGCCAGCTGTGGAAACGCTCTGTTAGTGTTGTTTATTCGAATATGGAAAATGCGACACATACCAAACACGGGACATGCCCGTAAGCTGGAGTCGGAGGTGTTTAATGGTGAGCGGTTCGGACAAACAGAGGATCAGAGTGCCCCGCAGATGTGCGCTCGCAGCTTCATGTTCGCCGCCACGAAAAACGATATACTCATCATCCAACCTGGATAATGTCAGATATGCAGTTCACATGAGCTGCAGGTCCCCCACTCACCTAATGTCAAAGTACTTGGCGCTGCTGGCGCTCCCGCCACCACTAAAGAAGCTGAGAGCCATTTTGAACTTGCCCGCAGCAATGGGCTGTCAAGAAGGTTAAGAATAAAGATATGAAGAGGAGAAAAAAGAGTAAGAAATAAGAGATCAAGTCTGGTAATTATCTGGGTCGGTATTTTTTCCGTTTTTTCTCTATCGCTGATCTACCGGAACATGGCCAGATACGCAAGGCTGGTCCGACTCGCGGGTCCTCAGTGGAGTGTGCCGGAAGCGGCGATTCTTTTTCTTTTTCTTTTTTTTCTTTTCCTTTTATCCGTTTTCTTTTTGCAGTGGCGAGTGAAACTGACTAAGCTCAACTAGAAATAGGTGAGAAGTTAGGCTCCGATTGGCTTGGCACATAGATCAATAGATAGAAGAGATAATGCAATAATAGAGAAACGGTGAGATTATAAGGATTTGAGAGATTTCAAAAGAACCTTAGACCCGATTTAGCCGGTTAATCACATCAAATGAATACCTGGTCTTCTACGTCAGCGCTGTCGTATGAATGTCAGACCTCTACATACAACCTAGGTCCATGCACATGTGTATTTCCCTATGTATATACCGTAGTGCATGCATGTTTACTTTATTGGGTCACGATCTTTTGCTATTAAATACAAATCACATTATATTCAGAATCAAATTTGAATACTAGCACATGAATCACATCATTCAACTTACCCCGGTCTTCCGGGTCTTTATTTACCCATTGTATGCATCGCGCCATGCAATGTTGTACATACCTCGGGAGCACCCTTCCCGCATGTTTTAAAGATCTCTTACGATGTACACTGTCAACACATATATCCCTTCCGAGTTACACAACATGAAGTGATATAAGGTTCATACTTCAGAACTTGATCGTCAACTTAAACCCCCACTTTGATGATAAACAGTCAGGCTAAGCCTGTACGCCTGTATATGCGTTCAACCAGTCGCGGCACAGATACTGTCCGACACCTACCAGGCTTTGGATGGCGCCACTCAAATGAAAACGATAATTTCGGCTTTGATTGTCAGCCTTACTTAGGCCTTCCAACTGCCACCCGTTTACGCCAAGAGTTGGTACTTCAATACGCCAATACTGCCTAGATACCTTAACAATACAGTTTCAGAAAGGGCGGTGTCTCCCTGCAGGTGGCGTGCCTGAAAATCCCATGCAAATGCATGAAATCTCGTACGTTTTACAGGGATCAAGCTTGGCCTATCTTAATCTCGGGGCATTCGGAAATATCCGTCTAATAAGTAACCCAACACTTACATCACTGAATGAGCGCGGTAAGAGCGGGAACCTGGTAGGATTAAGCCCCACCTAGCTGTCAACGCCCGTGGCGTTGTGATAGGTTCAAAGCGGGTCAGAGATATTGCGAGGCATTTCAACCTTGGAAGGGCAAAAACCAAACATAGATAAGGTCTTGGGCAATACAAACAGCTAATTACGGTGTGGCCCACTTTTGCGGACTTGTTTCGGGCACTATGATACATACGAATGCCAGGACTCGGCCCCTGTGCATAGCCGACTGCGGACCTAGTCGGGATGCCTTCACGTATCGGGAATTTCCGCTTCACCGGATCGGAATCCCGATAGCGTGCCGATTTAACCTACCCGAATGCACCCTGTCTTGTTATACTAGGCTTCCCGGTGTGCAATTTTAGGTTGAAACTTGTGTTTTGTATTTTTGGGGGCGTTTTTTTGACAGTGCCACTTCAAGGACTAGGCAACTGGAATACCCATTCTCAGGGTGTGCAACCCGCACTAAGTTAATCTTTCCATCCCTGGAAACCCACTTGACTGGTAGGTCTAGAATCCCTAGCATGGGCAATCATGATATCTTAAAGTTTAGCAAGCACCCAGAGTCAAAGCTACAATCTACAGAGTTTCAAGGATTTACGGCCCCACCCCGAGTAGATCATCGACGGTGAACTTTTGCAGACACTCCACTATGAAATTCTCTGTGGGTTCCAGAACTTCTTTCACCTACCTAGGCTCGGATTGCATCATCCCGAAAAGAAACTCAATAAAATGGATAATATTTTGTTTACGCGTTCTGATACTGTATTGAATGTCGTCATTCTGATTGACTCATTGCAATTTTAATTTGATGTTTATTTTTACCTTACTGTCACTACATGTCTGTATATGTACTACCTAGGTAAAAGCGAGTTACACAGCTGGCCGGATAACATACAGCATGGCCAATCACACAAGGATAACCTAAGCCTACATTGCATTACCAGACTATATCAGGTGTGTCAAAGAGATAAATATAGCCAATCACAACACAAAAGTAAACAGGCCGTATGGAGCCATAGCTTATCAGCTCGGTTAACATTGTCCGAAACTAGATAAGAGGCACTTGAAGGAAGTGGAACCTTGGAACCTTGCTAACACGGGCCTTCGCCTACATCCATAGTAATAAGAATTGTTAATTGCATGTGAAAGATCTGACCCCCCAAAGAAAACATGCTAGAATTGATTTGTAGAAAACTCTAATAATCCAAATATCAGAAAAGTGCATTGGCAGAGAAAAATATTTCATCCAAGCACAGTACAAAAATTATATTATGTGTACAGAGTAGGTGTCTTACCGAATACCCATAGTTAGGGCACAATATAGCTATCTTCCGGTGATCGCCAGGGGCGAGGTTGCAATTCTAGAGCGGGAACTAAAACAGATCGCGTGGATCGCCAAGCTCAATGAAAATGAATTTTTGCTGGCCTCGGTTGGACCAATTGCACACCCGAACCAGTCCACATGGGCAGGGTCTTTGTATTGGGCTTTTTTGGTTCACGTTTTCCAGTCTAGATCGGGCGTGGGTGCATTGTATACGAAGTACAGAGTAAAGATCGGAGTTTTCAACGTCAAAAGAGTTAAATTCAATGCTTATATTTTAAACATATAAAAACGAAATATCTGTAATTATAAGTTCAATCTGGAGAATCCCGTCAAAGAACACCCGGGAACGCCCGGCAGTTTCATATAACCGGCTATGTCGCAGCGGGTTGATCGACGCTACGGAGACCCTTGGCTACCGACCGGATGCTTAGCGTACAAGATATAAATTTCCGTTCCGGTTCAACAATTTTTGTATACCGTTGTGGGTATGTAGGTAGGCAGCCTCGGCTGTCGGAACTTAACTGTATACAGCGCAACCGGTCTCGGGTCCAGAATCGCAATGCCGTCGCGGCAACGAGGATAGATGCACAGGCTAGACACATGCATGCTGCTTGTTATATAGTTCGTCCACGCATGTGTCCCTGTTGTCCACCATGGGACCGGCTCCCCCGGTTTCACTAAAGATCGTTCCATTCGACCTTTAGTCGGATTATCAGGCCATGTGTGCAGCGCACCCTTGTCCGATGTTGTTGCCCATGACTGAATTCCGTGCTGCAATTCTCAATGGGACTAGTAACGTTATTGTGGCTTCTGCTGGTGCCAGTGTTGGATCATGATAAGCTGCATTTGAGAATAAGACGTCCACAATGTTTCAATCGAAATGTACTATGGTACCAGTGGCAGGTTCCCGCGAAGAATGGTATTCCGTAATCTCTGCGCCAACCACGGCTGAGTGTGAGAATTGTGTGTTGAGAATCCATTTTCGAGGTTGAGTATTGTTGTTGCCGTGATGGCATGGTACACTCTGTATCGGGTCATGGCCATGGGGAAATTGTGATTAACGATGCATGCCTTAACCAATTGCGAGCAAACTAAACCCTTGCTATTTTTTGATGAGACTGATTAGATCGAACACAGGTTACCTTTCCAAGGCACGGTTGCCAAAAACGGCATTGTGAGATCGAACATGGAAATGTGGCACACGACACCATCGAACCAACCTTTGAAGTGTTCAGCATAATAAATAAACTTTCTCGGTCGACTCCTACGTCTGATTGGAGAAGTCGTGAGAAGAAATGAAGTGAAAAAAAGTCTGAATGGACATTAATGTTTCATTGTCTTTAGCATCTGATTTCCATTTTTGGTTAGTGTTTTGCCCAGCCACGATTGGGTGAGCTTAAACTTATGATCGGCGATTAAATTTTTTGGGGGTCAATCTAAATAAATCATGCCGGGGAAATGGACCACTTGGTGACATCAGTAGAGCCTTCCGATGGACCGACGTATGCCAGTTAATGACATTGGTGACATTGACCACCTAGTACATATATCCACCCGATCCATTGTGTACTTCAATTACGCAATGAGTAGATACTAGAGCATGACTGAACAGACCCAGTGAGCCTAGGGCCAAGTATGTATTATGTTCACGAGTAATCACAGTATTAATGACATGGAAAAGAGGAAGAAGCAAAAATGCCAAGTCCTGATGAGATGCAGAGCAAGATGCTCCACATCAAAGATCAGAACCACTTGGGCCGCTTTGCAAATCATGAAGACGTCAATCAAGAGAACCCATATGTCGAGAGATGTCCCAAATGGGCCGACGGAGGTGGTAGGAGTCGTGGCACAATGTCTATAGCAGGCACAGCCCGAAAATAGAACGAGTATATCGAGAACGATGGGGAAATCCTGGAGCACAGTATACACTGTAAACTAACATGCCGTGCTATGCTAAGATCGACCGAAGCACAGATATGGTCGATAAGACGGAAACAACCTAGTACCATCGAATAACATGGCAGGATCGGATCATAAATGCTCGATAGCAGTCTCGGTCCAGCAAGCGCATCGAATATGGAAGGGGACGTGGGTGAAAGGATGTTGAGGAAGCGGCAGGTTGGAAAGATGCAAAACGTCCTTCAGAAGATCCAACCAAGAATAATATAGAGAACGATACCAGCGGCAATACACATGGCCGCAATCTTCAGCACGGCCACGGAGTCGCCTTGTTTCGCCATCCGTGTGAGTCGAGTGGCGCTACCTTTGAGGTTTGTTGAGAAGGAGGAGAATACATCGCTCTAAAGGGCAGGATTGTCAGTCGCAAGTTAACCAAATCAACGCGCCAGTCATAAGTATCTTCAGATGACAAGCAACATGCCGCGAATCGTTATCGGACTAGCGAAAGATTGATGAGACGTACGGTATGGTCGAGAGTGTCCTGATCCCGTGCATTGTCATGGATATCGATCGTCACGGACCGGAGGGCTGAGACCTTTGAGGAAAGGGAATTGAGGAGCGCATTATTCTGCCTATTTCAAAGTATCAGCGCTAAGAATCGACACATGACTCGTTTCATAGGGGCCCGATGGGACAATGTGGAGAAAGGGGGACATACTGTTCGCGTTCGTAGGCGTCACTCATTTTGGATACTTTCAAGTTTCCCTCGATCCTTTGTAGAGTGTTTATTGGGAGTAATGGAAAGCGCGTAGAGACCAGGAAACTGTCACAGAAATGAGTAAGGCGGAGGTGAGTGGCCAAAAGCTTCGAAGGTTGGGGAATCGGAACCGACGTCAGTCCAGTGACAGATCACATGATCGTCGATCTTCTATGCGGAAATTTACACACTTCAACCCTTCATTTTCCATAGCATGTGTGAGAAAAATGCGGAGTTGAACAGTCTCACATTGTTCAGGCTTCAAACACCCCACTGCCATGAATACCTAGGTATAACACCGCGTACAAAATCGCGCATAATCTACAACACGCAAATTCGAACTCCCTGATGGGCAGGTTGCCCATTAAAGCCTAGGAATCGCTGTCCCGTAAGTAGATGAGATATTCCGATATTTCCAATTGTCTGGGTGAACATGAAATGCGTAGACGTTCAAGTGTTTGGCATTTTCGAAGTCACTCTTGCCTCGTAAAGTATTGTGATAGTATGAGAATGTGCCTGAAGATGTCTCAGCCACCTTTGCCTCTCCTACTGGATTCTAACTAAGCCCTCGGCCGTTGTTACTGTTGTTACTTCTATGGCCAGAGCCCATTGAAGCTAAATGTAATCCACCATAACATGGAGTTTATTCTAAATGCATCCCATTAATGGAGGTATATCCATCAAATTTCTACTTGGCCACGTCTCTTGGCATGTTAACACAGGGAAAGAGCGCATTAAATAGATCAAGGGACAAGGCAACCCGCGATAGAGAAATATAGAAGAAAAGCTGGGGAAACCTTGTATGAATTTCTTTTCGGACCCACACGCGTTCCCCGCCTTCAATCGACATTTTATCCGCGACTCGGATCACCACATTTTATGGTGACATACGCAAAATGGCATCAACTGAAGATGAAAGACCATTAAAGCGAGCCCGTCAGGCGTGTGAGCCATGTCGGTGAGCTTGAACCTCTCATTCTGAGAACCAATTGGACTAACATTTCTCCAGCCGGAAAAAGTCGCGTTGTCCGGGAGAGAAACCGAGTTGCTCGTACTGCGAGCGATTGGGTCAACAGTGCGTGTATGCAGGCGCTGAGAGTGGAGAGGAAGGGCCGGGTTACTCCCAGAAGATGCTGGTAAGTATCATTGATTCCAACTACATATATGTAGAACCTAAATGGAATCTAATGTGGTATAGGAACAACGCATTTCCGGCATTGAGGGGAAGCTAGAACAGTTGATGGAATATATTACGTGTGTTTTTATTCTCTCTATATCATGTTTGTTCTATCTGGCTGATTGAGATGGCAGGCGACCTGCCTCAAACCACCTCGCTTCGCCAGTTGTGCCCGAGAATCACCATGAGATACCACAACTTACACCCCCGGAGAGCCTTTTTATGTGAGTTCAACTTGGGATATACTTGCGCGAGTTTTTCATTGACGAATGACATAGATCTGGATCGTCTGGGATCCCAGATGCTGAGCTTTATCTGACTTTTTGCAATGCACAGCCCCTTCTGTTATTCCCCCACAGATCCTCTCTGGCCTCCCTAGGGAAGCGAGACCCCGAGCTTCTGCTCGCGATCGAAGCTCTTGGGGTCCGATTCAAGAGACCGTGGGCCATTGGCCAGGATACACAACTAGAGATCAAGAGAAAAACAGAACGGGCCGGTCAGATGGTCATGATGCGTTTAGCATCTGGTACTGTGGAGCTATCTACGATTCAGTCCCTTTGTCTTCTAAGTATGCTGGAATTTACAGGTAAAGTAGTCATGCCCTGTGTGCTTTTGTTCATTGTTAACTTTGTGTTTCATCTGTCCAGCGGGTCATATTATTCGCGCAGGGTCTTATACCAGACTGGCCACATATTTAATGAAAAATCTCAGAATAAGTGGCCTAGAGTCTCTAAACAATTTGGAAACTGAGCGTGATGAGCGCAAGCTCTGCTACATAAGCCTCGTCATGCTTAAAAATCTTCAGGGGTCCCTACACCCACCTGGAAACAGCTTGGACTTGCTTGCAGAGCCTGGTGAGATCGTCTCGCCATTGGGAGCCATGATTTTCAACAAAGACATTGCCCGCGGTAGCAGCAGTGACTCCAAGCCAGACCTTGGCATCATTGGTAGCAGTGTTTACACTAGCGAGCTTTGGGCGATGGCATGTAATTATGCCGCCAGCCATGTCGGCGTTGACGCTCATCCCCCGTGGTCTCCGAACTCTGATTACACCATGATCAATTTCCGACACTGCGAGCATGAGAGTCTCATGCCACTGAGGTTCCGGCTTCATGCAAGTCGCTTCCAAGACCACCCCCCGCCGAACTTCAGGCTCATCGTGACTACTGGAGCCCATGGCTATTCTTCCAGTTGGTTTGGCATGCTGTTCCTTGTTTACTTAACCATCCATTTCTGTTGTCTATGCGGCTTCGGAACTTCCGAAGGACAATGCCTCAGTCATTCCTCCGCAATTCTTTCGAGCAGCTGACCTTCCACTCGGGCTGGGTGGTTCATTTTCTCGAGTTGATCGAGACGAAGAGCTTCGAGGTATCTGACCCAACCATAGGGCAATGTGTGGCAATTGTCGCTACGATCTATCTTCAGCATAGCTTTGTCGAAGATCAAGCTTTTAACAGAAAGGCGCAAACGGGATATGAGAAATGTCTCAGATTCCTACGCAACATGAGTGGTCGGTGGCCACACATCGATCGCCAGGTCAGTTTTCACTCGGTTGTTACTCCGGTGCATTGGTTCTGATGTCGCCTTTAGGTCCAACAACTGCAACAACTCCGGGACAGTGTTTCCACTGGAGACATTATGACAGACAGCATCGCCCCAGGAGGAACCCATTCTCGTCAGAAGTGGTCTGTGAACTTGCAGCTGTTATGGAAAATCTTAGTATATGCCCATGCAAGCAATATATCAGATCCTGCTAGCGACATATTCGGCCCGGAACTTGCCAAAGACAGTGTCGGATGCTCAGGGGACCCTTCCGCTGGCGCTATCACCGAACGTGATTTTACTTTGATTGGATCCGCTGGAATCTCAGGCCACAAGACAGTGGCTCCCGAGTGTGTCACCTACCCACCTGAGCAGACTGAGGATTCCATACAAGCACCGGGTCAAACCTCGCCGAAGATCGACTTTTCGGGGCTTCCAGGAGATCCCAACATGGAGTTTAACGGTGGTGACACATTGTTTCTCCAGCTTCAAGATTATGGGAGGGCGTTTGAGGATTGGCTAAGTGTCAACCCAACTTCTCCAGGTGAGGTTGGAATTTAGATCTTCTCATCCGGGGAACACGGACCGGATGCGGACTTTTCCGAACGCCAAGACCCGGTACAGAGCCCGCCTCGGCATTTTATAAAGGACATCCTCCGACCGATGTAGTTTCACAACACGTTTCTAGCTATTAATCTGTCGCCCAGCATGACCACAACTAAGACAGACTCAATCCTGATTGTGGGCGCCGGCGTCTTCGGTCTTTCGACTGCTCTTGAACTCAACAAGCGCGGATACACCGATATCACCGTTGTCGACCGATTTGTACCGCCATCAGCAGATGGAAGTAGCGTTGACATTTCGCGCATTATTCGTGCCGACTATGCGGATCCAATCTACTCTCAAATGGCGCGTGAGGCATACAATGGATGGACCACCGAGTACAAAGATGAATACTTCGAATCAGGATTCGCCTTGTTCTCGGAAACGCCCAAGAACGAATACATGGAGAAGTCCAAGGCTATAATTCGGGCAGCAGGTGGTAAATTAGACGATCTCAACGACGCCATGGATATCCGCAAACTCTACCCTAGTGTTCAAGCCGACTTTTCCGGCATGAACGGATACCACAATCCGAAAGGTGGCTGGGCCAATGCTGCAGGCAGTATTCAGAAGCTGGCTTCCAAGTGTACTGTGGCAGGTGTTTCGATCATTGCCGGGCCTCGTGGCACTGTTCTTTCCCTACGCCGGGCGGGCTCGCGCGTTGTTGGCGTCAACCTTGTCGGAGGGCAGGTTCTGCTTGCTTCACAGGTGATCCTGAGCACCGGCGCGTGGACTAATCGTCTTTTGAACATGGGTCAAGCGGCATCTTCCTCTGGCCAGCCGGTTGGTTTCATTCAGTTGACGGAAGAAGAGGCTCTCGAGATGAGAAAGATCCCGGTCATGATCAACATGAGCTCCGGCGTGTTCTCCTTCCCGCCCACACCCGACACAAATGTTCTCAAGCTTGCACGCCACGGTTACGGGTATGCAACTGATGTCACTGTCAATGTGAATGGTGTTCAGAAGTCGCTCTCGTCACCCAAATTCGAAACTAGCAATGCGGCGACTGGATATCTGCCCGACGACGCGGATGAATCGCTCCGAAAGGGTTTGCGTCAGTTTTTCCCCAAGCTGGGTGATCGCCCTTGGCTGAACCGTCGACTGTGCTGGTACACGGATACCCCCAACGGTGACTTCATTATTGACCACCACCCAACCATCCAGGGACTGTTCATGGCTACTGGTGGTGCAGGACAGTAAGTGTTGATTGAAATTATTACTTTGCACCCTATGGCTTTATACTAACTCACCTGATTTTAGTGGATTCAAATTCCTCCCTATCTTGGGCCAATATATCGCAGACTGCTTTGAGAACAAAGCACCCGAAGCTTTGCGCCAAAAGTGGAGGATGAACCTGCCCAAAGATGACTCGAAAGGGCCCATGGCAGGCGATGGAAGCAGAGCAGGTCCCCCGCTGAGGAAACTGACTCCATTCGAACAAGCCAAGCTGTAAATACTGGATGCAATGACGTTATGATAGTTGGAAGTGCCGTTGTTGTTGAATAATCTAACGACATGATTTCACGGTGCTTTTATAGGAATACATGTTCAATGAAAGACACATATAATGAAGGTGTTGTAAAATCACAAGAATAGAGACCGTGATAGTTGGGTGCACTGCTGAGGGTCCCCAGGATCGGAAGATCGTGGTGAGTATCCACGATGCTAGACACAGCCCCGGTATTAGGATAATAAGTTGCTGTGCTCCCCGGATCCAATCGGTCATTGCCAAGCCTATAGAGGTTAACCAAGCAAATGCCCCAGTCAGGTAAGTTTCGAAAGCAAGCCCTCTTCGGACTCGCCACATAATACTCATAATGGGCCTTGGGCAGGGTTCAATTTAATACATTCCATAAATCCATTTACGGGTCATTCGATAAAGACAAACTCCTTCGAGTACATTGGGGTTCAAGTCTAAATCCATATAAACACATTGGGAATTATTCGCGTCCGGCAAAGAAAAGCGCTGCAAGAAAAGAAATCACAATCTGGATATCTAATATAAGCATCAAATCATGTCACGCATAACCATTACTCAAACAGGAGGACTAAGTGGAACAAGGTTCTTTTCGTCCTCAGATGCAGCCCTCGTGTTGGTAGCAGTCCCCGTAGCAAAGCTACCATCCTTGCAGACGGGCCATTCATCCTGTCGCAGCCAATACTTCTCATGAGAAGGTGTACCTTTGAGCACCCCCTTCAAATCTAATGGATCAGCAAATGTCTCCCACTGAGAGCGGCGGTCAATCCAGCCGGGACCCATTCGCTCGGTCCGACCATCAGGACAGAGATAGCGAAGTTTTTGACGGGGTAGATGCCGACCAGGATGCATCAAATTGAGCCACCAAGTGAAGAGAAGCATAGGACTCAGCTCAAATGCATATAAATACCATTCGTTGCTGAGAATGGGCCCGCAGTTCTCCCGGCAGCCGAGGTTACCAAACTTCTCGAATGCCTCGACCGCGCGGAAGATACATCGCACCAAGACAAGGATCGATGTCCCGTAGAGTGTGATGCAGATCGTACGGACATTTGGCGAGATCATCCGAGCTCGAGAGCAGCGGACATGAATTGTTGCAACGACACCGACCACGCAACACTCGACCACAGCTTGGAGAACAAGCCCTGCAGCGATGAGAGTCCCACCGGCCTTGTACTCCTTCAGGTCAGAACCGGCTGATACATTTTTGGCTGCTCCTGCGACTGTAATTGCTTCCGCAGCAGCGCCGACATAGACGAAGAAGATGAGGACGCGGTTGGGATTGAGGACGGCATGCATTGGTAAGTAGTTCATGAGGCGTCCGATGAGGTTATAGGCGGCGGCCGAGTACACTGGTGGGCCGGCATAAATGAAGATTGTTGATGCGATATATATGTTCAAGTTTCCTGGATGGTAACTCGATATGCAACGGAGAATCCAGCCGGTAGTGAACAGGGCTCCACCCCAGGAGACGAAGAAGGTGACGCGCCAGAATCGATAGCGGCTGAAAGTGTTAGCGCAACCTTGGTCTTTCTCGAATTGTATGTAAAATACTTACTGGTTTTGGTAAATATGCAAGAGTAGGGATAAGCCTACCAAAGCAGCAAACACCGCCGGTAATATATGACTTGGATCGTACAAGTAGAGGTTTACCTCTGCATCTGAGTTATTTGAGGTCATGATGAAGTGCAATGAATTGTGGATGAGATGAGAATGCTGGGGAATTACATGTTTAAATATCCACTGAATGTACACATTACGGACCGCTACATAGGTTCCTATCGGGTTAGCTAGAGCTGTGTCCGATGACATTGAATTTAGCCCCATTGCATATAGTCGATCAACTGGCCAATTAGCGACGTCCAACTCAGCCTTGCACAGCGGTACATTTAACCCAAAGCGGTTAGACTACGCAGCCCAAATGACCTCAACTTGGCTGTTTAGGGGCTTAGTTCTTTTCCTTTTTAGTCCAACACATTACGATATTATAGTCTCTGAGTACGCCGGCACTAGATAGACACGTACCTGAAGCCCTGCAGTGTCCGTTTTGGGATACACGCTCCGCTCCCCCCACTCGGGTCTTACTCGCCATGCCCGGTGTCCCATCAGGTCGAGCCTGTGACGCGTGTCGGAAGCAGAAGAAAAAGGTACGTGCGGCGAAATGTGGCACAGAGTGCTATTCCTAATAAATATCAAGTGCGATGAGAAACAACCTGCGTGTGGACGATGTCTTCGTCTCAAAGTTAGCTGTGTGGGGTCCGGTCAGCAACGATTCAAGTTCAAACACGAACAATTTTCCCACAAATTAAACCAAAACGACCAAATAAATCTCGCCTTGAGATTGAGATCAACAGAAGAACAATATTCTTTTGAACCCCCCCGGGCGTGTCCTAGCAATGGAATGACATCGTTGACTAGTTCTTTTGTCGGCGCCATAAAACGATCCACCGACCTCCGGTACAATATGTGGTGGTCTTTTGGCATTTTCCTGGAAGACGTACCCCGAAGACTCGGCAGTAATGAAGCACTCGACCGTGCAGTTGACGCCGTGACCACTGCCCACGCAGGCTTCTGCACCCGCCAACCAGTTTCAGTTGACGCACTAGCCAAATATTCCTATGCGCTGAGAACCCTAAGGGTCTATTTAGATGACCCGCTCCAAGCCAGTGCTTCCAGTACACTGTGTGCTGTGATGATACTTTTGGTCTGCCAGACATTCATCGGAAGTAACGGGAACATGGTATCAGGACATGCCCAGGGGGCCGCCAACATCCTACAAGCGCGAAAGAACTTTGGGCCACGCGACGACTTTGAGAGTAAATTATTTCTCTCCTTACGGGGAAGTGTGGTAAATCACCCCAGACTCCCACTATTTTCCGAGGCTAAGCTAACCACACCCCCAAGTTATTCGAAGGGTTATACAATGAGGCTATCGAACTAAGCCCGGAGGAATGGGATGTCTTGGTCACGAGTGAATTTGATAAAAGTCAACCTGAAGGCCGGATTTTGCGATATTTAGCACAAGCTCCGGGCCTAATCAAACGCGGCAAGCGAGCTATACGCAACGGCGAAGATTTAACAGCCTTGATAAATGAAGTCCGGCCAATATACGAAAACTGCAAATTGATACTGGCGGAGTTGAAAGCACGAACAGTCGCATATGAGACCTCGCTCAATACTATGAAAGAAACGTTCATTACCCAGATCCTGCGAGCACATTATCTCCGCACCTATGGAGTTGGTGTCGCAATCACAACATTTTACAATTGCATGCTTCAGGCACTGGATCCCAGTGACTGCACCTGCGTGGTAGAATCGAGAGCTCTTGTTAAAGAGACTCTCGTACATGCCCAGGAGTCCAATATGTACAGACCTGTTGGAGCAGGATATGTAATCATGTGTCTGTCGGCAGCATGGGTCGTTACTACAGACCCCCAGCTGCGCTCAATGGTGGAAGCCGCCTTGGTTGACTATTATGGTGACTTCTCGACCCCTCATGGTGTAAATATACCGCGACAGCTGGAACAGGTGAATGAGAATTTATGGCTCGGATCGACTGCTCAGATGAAAGCGATTTTCAACCCTTGAGAATATATCATTGTTCAAGATACCCAAGTATAATTGCTGGACCATTACTGTATTACATCACAAGTATGTATAGTAGAAATATTCCATTCTCTGATAACTAGTGGTTTTGAGATGCATTGTTGCAAATCGTGTAGAGTAGCATGTAGATATTGCTGGCCACACACTGCTCAGGCACGTGGTGATAATGATGATACCCCGCCTTCCCAACATGAGGCTCTCGGCCTTCGGGACGCATTTCTTTCTATAATCTTTGTGAGATTATCCTCCATTGAAAACTTCCTGGTTGTTCCGATTCTTGATACAGATGCAACATATTATGGGGAATCAAAGCCTACTTGAAGGGCTGAGCACAGAGCTGATTCAAGCCATCCTTTTTGAACTTTCCGATATCCAATCCCTTGTATCTGCCATTCTAACCGGCCCACGTCTATATGTAGCATTCAAAGGCGCGGAAGTGCAGACTATCAAAAGTATACTGCTTCAGCAGATTGACGCAGACTTATTGCATGATGCCCTTGCCACAGAGGTATCAATGCAAATAAGTATATGGCATGAGTCGGATGCGAATATGTTTATCCTCAGTCACCTCTATCGCGATGCACGGCCATTCCATTCTGTTTTGAATTACACTCTATCCCAAGCCCTTCGTTTATCGCGTCTGTATACTCTCATTGAACGTTTCACGAGTGATTTAACAGCCCCAATCCTTGCTCGAAATAAGCCCCTAGAAGACAGACACATGGAGGCTTCATCTCCGACTCTACCCTTATCTACAACAGAAAGAAATCGCTTCTTCCGTGCCTTTTACCGGTTTCAAATATACTGCAATATATTCGGAGACCCGAAGGATTGCCCGTATCAAGACGGGTCCGACAGGAACCTTGCTTACTTTGCGCATTTCTCCGCATGGGAGAATGAGCAGTTGGCCTGTATTCACGATTATTTACTCAGGGTTATGGCCCCAGGTAAGCTGACATTATTCTTACAAAGACTTGTTCATCTCTGACTCCAAGTATTTAGCCTTCAAGCAAGAGTCAGAAACCGATCGTGAATGGATCTTATTTTTTATGCTGTCTCAAACAGGGGTGGATTCAACTATTCAGCAGTACCATCTCTCACGCGGTCTAAAACATATTGAACGGTTTCTCAATGCAGACACCTCTGAAAAATGCCACAGTCTTCTCTCGGGCCAGCAGAGTCAAAAAGCGCACATGACATTCTTTTCAGATATACTGGGGCAAATTAATGAGTTTGAGCAATCCGAGTCTCTAAAGGATTTGACGGCCGCAAAAGAAAAAGAGCTAGTGCGCCAACCACGGGACTGCGACCCGGACAGTGGACCTGAGGATGTTTGGCGGTGGGCACATTCCAACCAGCCATGTAGCCAATTTGTCTTCTCTCTCTCGCAAGCCCCATTACGAGAGTGGACGTATGTCATGTGGGATCGTCAGCGGCTGGATGGGTGGAGTGTGTTTGAGCGACCATGGGAGTTCATCGACGCAGAAGCGTGCGGAAAACTGTCGGAGACACGGAAAGAGGAAGAGTGCCTAGCATTCGAAGAAAGGGCAAAGCGTCTGGAGATACGAAGTATATGGATCTAAACTTTTTGGGCCATGCATGCAGCACATATCGAACCGGTCATATACCCAGACTTGTTAGAACTAATGGACGAACCTTGTAAGCTCAAACAAGAATTTCATCGCCTTTAAGATCACCCACTCGGAAGTCATACGCCGTATTTTGAACTTCTAGAGAAAGGGCCTTCTAGAGGGTTGACAAGGTTTTTGTAGATACTACAAGCTTTAATGGCCCTCAATGAACGGTCGAGCTAGTAGTTTAATGACGTTCAGACAATACTTTCCTCATTATCCGGCTAGAACAAGGGTTGAAGCCAGTGGACTACCCAAGCCTGCTGGTTTGCAGAAGTAATTGCACTGGCGAATTAAGCTCTCAGGCAAGGAATTCTATAGAGCCTTTCATCGACAATATTAGAAAATTAGATCGCAACTAAAACAATCCATGGGTGTACATTCGCCCATTCTATCTTCAGCTTACAACTAAATCCTTGTGTCCACGGATTAAGAGTGTATTTTAGAGTAGGTTGTTAGCGTTGTTATAGTTGCTTCTCGAGATTTAGACGGTTAACAAAGACGAACGAAAATGGAGCCGAAAGGACTAGACAACTTTAAGGGCGAGACTGATGGTCCCAAGCCGTGAGTATTGATAGGGAGGGTCTTACTGAATTCCTGATGGTAACAAAAGGTGTTTCGTCGAGGTAACTTTCGAAGGGTATGGAGCTCATTTATATACCAAAATAGAATACTACTGTGGCTACCACTTATCTCTCAGATTGATTGATAGCCATGAATAGCCATGAATAGGTAGATTATAGATTATCTATGCCAATTCAACCTCAATGGTCCCAATGACAATTGAATATACAATATGAGAGACGCCTAACAAACGAGGCAATCTGTTTGTTGGAACAATCCTTAATTGTCTATTGTCTCTTCATCTGATATTCACTTTACTATCACTCAGATCTGATATAGCCACCGCACTTCTGTCTTCTCTTCTCTCTTTAGCCTCATATCTCTCATCCCCATATCGCTCATCCTCATATCTCTCATCCTCATATCTCTCATCCTAATATCTCTCATCCTCATATCTCAGTTACTCGCCCATTTCCTCTGTTTTTCTTAATCACTTGCTCGGGCTTCATCATCCCAGCTAGTTTTCTCATATTTTTGACCCCTTCCTCTCAACTGTCTTTCTTTCCCTCGACCCTCACATCCCCACTGCTTTGGCCTTGCCTCTGGCGACAGCAACCATGTCGCTTTTTTATCTCCCCACGGAGATAATTCTCATGATTGAGAGCTACCTGGACACCAAGAAAGACCTCAATGCCCTAATTCGGAGCAGCCCGCTGTTTACCCTCATGTTTGAGGAAAAGCTCTACAAAACCAACACGGCGCACGAACACGAGTTTGTGGTCTCATGGGCAGCCCATAGAGGCCTCGAAGGCACCATCCGCAAGTGCCTCAAGGCTGGCGCAAAGATCACAGTGCGAGACCGATTCAGGTCTCATCTAAGAGCTCGCAATGCCCCCGAGATCATGAATGTCATCCCACGACACCCGAAATCACACCCTTTGACCTCAGCAGCCGGCATTGGCTCGATGTCTTGCGTTCGTCTTCTCCTTAAACAGGGTGTCAATGCCAACTTGCTCGACGAACACTACGAAACCCCGATGAGACAGGCCGCAGGAAATGGCCACGTGAAGATTGTCAAGTATCTCCTTGACAAGCAGCCTGATGCATTCACGGGTGCTTTCAAGCTGCGACGTCCTCTCCATATTGCCGCAGCTCGCGGCCATATGGGCGTGCTCAAAGCCCTCTTCTCTTTCCTCGAAGAATCTCCTCAAGACCTCACCGTCAAAGAAGCTGCACAAATCATTCTTTACGAGGGACTCTGGCACTGCGAAGAAGATGTTGTCAGATATGCACTCGGAAAAGGCGCCGACGTGAATAGTGCAAGTCTCACGCCCACGTTGCGGTTTGCCCCGGATATACGTGCAAATGAACACCCCCACAGACAACGACTCATACTCGTCCAAGCGCACAAGACCAGAGAAATGATTGATGGTGTCGAAACCCCTGGCTGGTCAGGCGAAATATCGAATACACTCTACGCTGCACTCCTTGGTGGCGATGAAAATTTGGTTAAGTTGATATTTGACCATGGTTGTGATCTTGCTCGACTGGGTCCTGAGGCCCTGAGATACGCAATTCTTCAGAGAGAGCGCAGACCTATCACTAGGTTAATGGACATGGGCATTACCTTCACCCCTAAGGCCCTTGGTACGGGTCTTGAAAATGAATCACTGGTTTGGGAACAAATGATGAGGAACATCCTGAAAGAACTAGGGTTCTAGGATTGAGCAGCCTGGTACATTTTGTTCCGCGCCATACCAACACATCATCACAGCACATATTCCGATCTCAACTAAGCATTTGATTAATTGCTATTTGTCTTGCATATTCTCCAGTTTTCTGGCCCGTTTTTTTCCCCCATCTTCTATCTACAAGGTGAAGATCACAGAGACGGGACGGAGTACAGACAATTAGAAAAGAAAAAAACCAAAGAAAGTATTTGAAGTGTGAAATGAAATGTTCGAATAGTCCCTGTTTGAATATAGTTGGAATTCTCTAAGTAGGTCGCTGAGCAACGTTTAGTTTAGTGCCTTGATATAACTAGTAGTAGTAGTAGTATCTTTTGTATGGACATACACTAATGGACATTAGATTAATAGCCTACATATCGTTTCGGCGAGAGGACGACTTAATCGACACTGTATTATATTTCTGAACCTAATTCAAAACATATGTACCGGATAATGCCTGGCACTCTATACCTTTCCCCTTTTTTTAACCACTCGACATAAAGTCTCGAACAGACGATGCCTAAGAAAACACAATGAAAGACTGGCAATACTATCTATCACGCACATGCCGTGTGAACTTGGACCATCTCCCTCAAAGCTCTTCGATTGACCTTGAACCCCGTCCGGGGAAGCTCAGGAAGACAGTAGACCCCTCCGGTCAGCTTCTGCAACCCTGTCAATCTCTCCTCAGCAAACTTCACAATGCCTTGCTTTGCCTCGCCCATCTCTCTTTGTCCGCAAGACTTCTCCTTAAGAACCACAAACGCTGTCGGTAAATCTCCAGCTTTGCCCTCCGCGCGCACTCCCAAAACGACCACACTCTCTACAGCCTCATGAGTGAACAAAACAGCCTCCAGCTCAGCTGCTGACACATGCACCCCATATCCACCTCCAGCCTTGATAAGCTCCTTCATCCGATCCACAATGAACACATTCCCCTTATCGTCAAGGTACCCGAAGTCGCCCGTGTGGAACCAGCCATCAGAATCGAAAGCCGCTTCATTCGCTTTTGCATCGTTCTGGTACCCGCGATAACGCGCAACAGAGTTACGGACGAGAATTTCACCCGAGTACTCGGGCCCCGAGCCACTCTGCTCTAAACCAGTTATCGAGTCGAGGACTTTGGCCTCGTTTCCACTCACCAGGGTCCCAGTGGAGCCGGGTGCGCATGAATCCTCGTCAAACTGCATAGATACAAGCATCGTCTCTGCAGTGCCGAGTTCCAGACTTAGAGGGATGTCGTGGAAGCGACGCGATACTGCCGCCCTCATATTCTCGTGGATTGGTGCACCAGCTGAAAGAAGCCACTTGATTGACTCTGTCTGTGCTGGTGATGGATCAGTTCGGGCCAGCTGGGCTGCCAATGGGGGCGTGACGAAGAGGAAGGTGATGCGGTGGCGGGCGATTAGATCAATTGTTGATATCGCGTCGAGGTCTGGCTTGGAGGGGACCAAGATCACTCGGATTCCCAGCAGGATATTAAGTCCCATGTTGAGCTTCGCGTTGATGAAAAAGCCCAGAGATAGTTGGGAGAGCCAGGTGTCTGTGTCTGGGGATGTATTTGAGGGAATGGTGGCACGTGTGCCTTCCATGGTGGCGATGAAGTGTGCGTGGCTGACTAGGACGCATTTCATGTTACCAGTTGATCCACTCGTGCGGTTGATAAAGCCCGTATGAGCATCAACGGCCTCAGGGCTGTCCAGCTGAAAGACATGCTCTCGGCAGTGGTTTGCGGTCATTTTCAGAAGAGCGGCGATCGAGGGACACTCATTAGTGGGAGCATCATCAAGAGTGACAAAATGCAAAGTCTGCTTATTTAGCAGGAGGGATGCGGCCTCCGCCACTGACAGCATATCGCTGTCAGTGATGAGCAGTTTAGCGTTTGTTTGCTGCAAATGGCGGGCGATATCGCTGACGGCGCTGGTTGCTTGCACTGGGATTAGGGCAATAGTGGCGCCCGCAGCCATAGCCCCGAAGTATGCTATGGGATACTGGATCTGCTTACTGTTAGATTGAAAGGAACGTTCATTGTTGACTTTTAGAGGGCTTACCTTGTCACGGGCAAATATTGCTATAACATCTTGTGGTTTGATATCATATTGGGCGTGGAGAGTGCGGGCCAGACGTCGGCTCTGGTCCTCCAGTTCTGCCAAAGTCAATTGTTCGTCGGTTCCATCCACGCTATAGAGCACACGATCGCGCGGGTAATTTCGCCGACTGTGGTGGAAGATGTAGTTGAATACATCACATTGGGGAACAGGGGGCAGTGGGAGGCGTGAGCGGAAAATCATGTTTGTGTATTGGGAGTGAATTCAACGTAGCTACGGAGGGATCGGATATTAAATATTGTGAAAGACAGAGAGGCGCCACAGCGGATGGTCAGACTGTATCAGATATCGACGACCCAGTGCCCCCTAACTGATTTTCTAAAGGTCGATCTTTCTGGATGAGATCTATGTATGCAGTCAGGGATTATCTCGGCTCCTAATTACTCTGTACACCGAATTTGATCTACGGTTGCATTACAAATTGTCCATGTATGAGACACAGCATTTTTTTACCAGTATCTTGCAATACGAGAAGTACTTCTCGACTCATACAAATAAGTCACCGAGAACCTTTACAAGCGGACAAGCAAAAGACATTCTAACAATGTCTCCATCCTCTATACAGCCAGACGCAACAGCAGCCGCCCATCAATGGCTTCAATCCTTCCATCGCCTTGGCGATTCCCTTTCACCCGAAGAATGGGTAAACACTTTCTATGACCCGAACTGCACAATGCAATTTCTTGGTCAGGAGCCAGTCCAAGGCCACGCGGCTATCATTTCGCATTTCCGGCGCCAATTCGCCCGTCTCGACAATATGAAGCATACAATACGCCACATCGACGTCACGCATGATCGGATCTACCAGGAAGCTACAGTCACCTACATTGTGAAGGGTGATTCCGAGCAGCGACAGATTGAGGCGCATGGGCTTGCGGTGTTCGGCAAGGGGGTCGAAGAAACCAAGATCAGATTTTTCACCGTCTACCTAGACTTGGAGCCTTTGCGGAACAGGATGAAGGAGCTATTGGGATGATGTGACCTGTATGTATGTATTGGCACCGAGTACTTCCGAGCTGGTGAAGCGAAAACAATAGCCCAGAGAACAAGGATAGAATATGGAGATGGATACAAAGTTTTTCGTAAGTAGTCATGATTGAATCGCTTTTATGGGAATCTGCGAACAGTACTTTAGATAGATTGACGGCCTTTCTACGGTCACTTACCGAATTTCACTATGGACATTGACTTTAGTAAAACTTCGGAAAATGTTTCTCAATCGCGTAGCGCCTACGAAGTATACAAGATCTATGGACGCTGCTAGTGTACTAGTAATATGCAAGGTACGTGGTGGAACACGTCAGCGTAGAAGCATCGGAGAACTACATCATAGATCTTGAGATCTTGAGATCAGCAGCAAAGGGGGTGATCTGCTTGATGTAAGTCCGAATAAATTCCTAGTAACTCAATCTTCCTATATATGCAGGCCACGTACCACATATTGTAGCCCCAACCCTCACCGCTGTGTCTTTCCCGAGATTGACCGAAAAAAAAAAAAGGAAAAGCAAAAGGTCACGTTAATGCTCATCCCATGGGAGCACCGGCCCAGTCCCAGGCCCGGGCCCGGGCGCCATTCGTCTGACACATTGATGGCTGAGCCAGCCACAGTTGTACATCCGGCGCAGAACATAACCCATCCTCACCGACAGGAAAGAACTGCTTGGTGGCGTCTCGGCGGATAATCTTCCCCGATACAGTGCGCGGGATGGTCTCGTCTGCCTGTAACAGTCGGAAGGCGGTGGGTAGCATAAATGTGGGTACCTTTTCCACCAGCTGTGTTCGAAGACTAGGCAGATCAAGGGTGGCTGGCTGAGTTTCGGCATCGCCGCCTGTGCCAAGTTGAACCAGAGCGGCAACGCGGTATCCGCATCGTTCGTCTGGCATGGCAAGGATGTGACCTTCCTTCACTCCCGGGAGGTCATTGAGCTGCTTCTCGACGGTCATGATAGGGACTTGGTAACCGTGGTATTTGATGACTGCGGGTTGTTAGTTGGAGGGACGAAAGATTGTTGGCTACTCACAGTCTGTAGAAGCACGGCCATGGAAATAATACTCATTTCCTTCGCAAGAGACTAGATCTCCTGTTCGATAGAAGCCATCATCTGTTAAAACAGCTTTGGTGGCTTCGGGGTTGTTCAGATAACTTAGGGTTAATGTCAGTAGGTTTCTGATTAGCATGATCCGGACGAGACGTACCGCAAGAACAACTTCGGGGTTTTGATCAGCATCTCCCCATGAGTGCCCTCGGAGAGTTTGATGGTTACTCCCCGCAGTGGCCGTCCAAGGTAGTTCTGTACATAAGGTACCAGTTAGCTCGGACCTTTTCATGGACGAAATTGGGAGGGGAATTACATTCCGATGAGCACTAGCACCGTCCCCCGTCACCAAGCAAAGCATCCCGAGCTCAGTCGCACTGTAGCATAGCTCCAGCGGTTTCCCCAGGTTTTTCCAGAATTGCAGTCTCGACGAGATTAATGTTCCACCGTTGACTCGCGAGGTACGGAGCCCACGCAGACCGCTGAGATACTCTTCCCGCTGTACAGCTGGCAGATGGCCCAGATGCTGCTGGTAGTGATTCATCATGTTCTGCCAGACTGGAGGCACAGCAGCGAGGAACTCAGCGCCTCCGTTTCGCAGACGCTCCCACAACACACTGGGATCTGACGGCATGATCTCGATCCGGCGGGCAAGCAACGTCTGTTTGATGAGGCGAACAGCCCCTATGGTCCACAGCGAGGTGCAGTTAATAAAGGCACCCGGTCCCAGTGGCTTATACCGTAAGTCCAAGTAGCGACGCGCGAAGACGACTCCCTTAGGCACCCCCGATGTGCCAGAGGTGAAGCTAATAAAGCTGGGTCGCTCAGAAGAAATAGCCATACTCTCGTCAATAGTGACCTGGACCGCCTGTAGTGAGGTTTGAATAGAAATTGATTGGATTTGAATATCCTGCTGCTGACTTGCGGCGTATCGCTGAATATCAGCAGCATGGCTAAATGCGCTTGACCCAGCCATCAGCATGGTAGACTGACATTCGTTCATCAGATAAATTGCTTCCTCCGGGAGGATATTTGGGGCTAGCTGTATCAGCCATCGTGACTTTTCCGTACCGTGCAATAGGACGAGAAGACTCACATAAGGGAACCACCGCACCGCCGAGCGCCAGCACCGCAAAAGCCGCCACAATGAAGTCATAGCTTCCCTGGTTCAATATACAGACAAATGAACGATCCTCACGAAGGAGGTTCTGGTTGCTGAAGAGGGTTCTGGGTAGATTGTCTAAGAGTTCTTGTCGCGTGATGTATACATCATTGATGAACTGTGGGTGATTCGCCTCAATCCCAGATACTGAGTCCTTGAAGAATACCTCATCAGGGGAGCTTTCACTGCAGTATCGCAAAAATACTCGAAAGTGCGATTCGTCCGGAAATGGCAAAGTGATTGTCATTGAGGGCAAACCAGGAGGGGTCATGATCAGGATGTCAACGCAGGACAGAGGCTTTCTGCGTGGTTGGCACATATAAATAGTGAGAACCGATCGACAGTGTCCTGCAGCATTCCGATGGCTCCATATGTGTCGGTGTGATTCATCAACTAGCCCTCACTTAGAATATCCACGGGTCATTGACGAGGCTTGCGTCGACACGGGACTTGCCATGTCGACAATCAAGATGGCAGCGCAGAACACAGGCTTTCTGCGTTGTGAGGTCATATAAATAGTGAGGACCGATCGAGAGTGTCCTGCCGCGTCCCGATGGCTCCATATGTGTCAGTGTGATTCATCAACTGGCCCTCACTTAGAATATCCACAGGTCATTGACGAGGCTTGCGTTGGCGCAGGACTCGCCGTGTCGTTGCAAAATTCAAAATTTATTATGGCCAACAGGGTGTCAAAAGAAAAAAGCTCAGCTAGAGATCTTTGGTAGTAACATACCAATTCGTTGTCATCATGACATTCTTTCAACTCAATCAGTACGCCGGACAATTCACCAACAAGCCCATCGCCGTTGACCAAAGCAGCCCACTTCGAGACCTTCTCACTGCTCATCCAGGACTGCGATTCATTCACTTGCAATGGCAACATTATTCCGGTCTCTTGCGAGCACGCCTCGTGGTGGTGCAGTACCTCCTCGCCCTCATCGCCACACAAAGGCCCGTCCACATCTCGCCCTTCGGGTTTCACTGTACAGTGGACAATAACCTTCTCCCAAATCTCGATCCAACGGGAAATCATTACTTGGTCCCTTACTGGAGCTCTCTGCGCTTCCTTCCATGAGCTGCACACCCCAGCGCAACAGTCATGTGCGGCGTTCTAGCCACCGGGCCAGCCCAGCCCCCAGGTCTCGGCATCTGCCCCCGCCGAGCTCTAGCCATCATCGTCCGCCACGCCACGAAGAACTTTGGCCTACACTTCCAGGTGGGATTCGAGGTGGAATTTGAAGTCTTTCGTTCACCTCAAGCTGACCCGTCGAGAAGCGAGACCCTCGTTCCTGCAAGCACATCCCTGGGCCTTTTCGCTGTGGACGGACTACGCGCAAGCATAGCACCCCTCATTGAGGAGGCAGTCCACCATCTTTTGGACATCGGCGTCGGCATTTAAACCATGCAGACCGAAGGCCGTCGCGGGAAATACGAGCTCTCCCTCAGCCCAGGAGCTCCTCTCGACGCCGTCGATAAACTTATTCTAGTTCACGACACCTTGAAAAGGGAGCTGGAGAAGCACGACCTCGTCGTAACAATGGCACCGCGCCCGGTAGCCCAACGCCGACAGGCGACTGGGCAGCATACACATATCTCAATCTCCAACACAGAATTATCCTCCAACTTCTTGGCGGGCATCTTGGGGCAATTTCCTGGGATCTGTGCGGTATGTATGCCGTTCGATATCTCGTATGAGCGAGTTCGGCCGTACTTGGGGGGTGAGATTGTTGCATGAGGGATGGGAGATCGGACCGTCCCGGTACGGGCGATCAGGAGTCCACACTGGGAGATCAGGTGCGTAGATGCTACGGCAAATATGTACCTGGCGTTAGCGACTATGCTGGGCGCGGGGATTTTGGGTGTCAAAAATGCGGAGACGTTGAGGTGGATGGATACGACCATGAAGACGGAGACTTATTGTCGCGAAGAGCAACACAGGCATGAGTCAAATGGCACTTCCAATAGGATTTCTGACGGGGTGTCCAATAAAGTTTCCAAAGGGCTTTCAAATATAAAGTCGAATGGGGTCCATGTGAATACGACTAACGGAGTGACGGCCGGAGAGGCTCTGCCTCTCCCACGAAGTCTAGATGATGCCCTGAACATGCTCGAGAAAGATGCCTCCGAACTCAATCATATATTGGATAGCTCTGTTCTAGATCACTTTTTGCGTGTGAAGCGATTTGAACGGAGCTCTCTGGCACGTAAGGATCCGGAAGAGGTGAGGACAATTTTCATGGAGCTGTTCTAACAACATCACTTGTCCTGCGGTCGGTATCGGTATCTCTATCTGCGAAGCCTTACTCCATAATACCCAGCAAGTAACTGCCAGAGTTTCCGCAGGTAAAAGGTCCGACGACTTGAATGGGCAAAGAAATTTCCTATCAAAGACGGCGAAACCTACCTTTCTGCCTCAGGTGTGAATGGTAGAGAAGCCCGCCGATCTTAACGCCCTGCTCCCTACAGGACCTCGGGAGACCGTACCATTTGGTTCTTAGTATACAACTTTATGATTCAGATCTGGACGTTATTCACATTTACTAATATCTCTTATATCAGTACATTATGCGACTCTAGCTCGTTCGCCTTGTGAGAATTCATCTCATTCATGTAAGCTGTCTTCGTCTTATTCAAAGACATCATTGCAGATTGGTTCTAGCCCACAAGAGCTGGATGGGTGTTTGGGGCTCTCTTTCGACGAGTGATGCACAGCCAAGTAAGAATTCCAATGAATCCCAGGACGACAATGGCCTTGTATACAGGAGCCACTGCCATATCAGTCCTGGTTATCGGGGTGCTAGGATTCTGCGAGTCTTGGTCCTCAATTTCCTTAAGGCTGCTATCATCCTCGAGTTTCATCAGAACATTCTGAGGTGAAATATCTGCTCAAAGAATGGTGAGCGAGTATATGCAAAAGGCCGCACCATCTGACTTGTACCTACTAGTATATATGACACCACACTCTAAATGAATCCAATTGACAGCAAACCACAAGGGGTGTATGATGGATTTCACAAGCAGCTTAGGCGGGATGCGATTTAGATATCTCTCCTGTAACACGCGCATACTCTGGCCCGAGGGTTTTGAGGCGATACAGTAGTGTCGACCATGGCGGAGACTCCTATTAATTTCAAAAATATCGTCTGCGAAGCGTGTAAATCCCACACCGGCGAGGTCTCGTTCCCGCGAATCGCTTCAAGCGCCGCAGCATATTGATCTTAAGCACCGGTGAAGATTCGGTCTTCTGACCAAAACACACTTTGAGTGAAATGTACTGATCTGCGCTGCAGAGTACTAGTATTTGCAAACATCTGATCCCACGCAAGCCAGACCGTGGAATAGGCGTCATATCCAAGCTTTGCAATAACCCAATACCGGTTTTTGAACAGATCGTCAATTTCTCAACCAGGTAGTAATTCCTTTCGTGATACCGGGGGAAGCTCTGTTCTTCAATTGCTTCTTCAGCAGCCATCGCGTGGTTTGGTCGACAAATTGTCAGAGCAGCCTATAGAAAACGCGGTCGTGTGAAATGCCGTAGTAATCCAACGAGAAGACGCATTTTGAAAATGTTGATTGCTGTCTCCCCTGAACATGGGATCGCCCCTTCATGTTGTTTGATATGCAATCCTTTGTCATATGAGCACTCTATAGCAGAGACTTTTATAGGTCTTCCTTTCTTCCCTCCTACATAATACACGCGTTCTACAATACAACCTATAGTGCTTTATCTTGTAATGTCATCTCCGTGCCTGTAGTCTCAAACGCGTGTTTAGGGGTTTTAACTTGGCTGCTAGCCGCCAACGCTGTGTGGAATGCCCTCGATATATAGATCCGCCTGTGAGACATCGAGTCCGATAGCTAGTGAAATTATCTCAATAAAGCATAGTTACACTTTGACGTCTCTTTGGACTTTCACTAATATGTAACTAAGATTATGAAGACAGATGGAGATAAATATATTTTAACAGGGATACATATTTGCCCATAGGGAGGGGAAAGCAAGAAACTTACAATAGAGAGGAATCTGGATGCTTGACGTTGGATTGTCTGATTGCCTGAATGTCTGGTCATAGTGCACTTTATGTTTGATACTTTGTCCATAGCTGGTTATAATCTTTCCGTCTTTTCAATCTCGCTTGGCCCTCATCATCTTTCGTTTCCCACAAGCCCTTCAACTTCAACCTCCCACAATCACCAACAAGCCCCAGCCAGTGCTTTTCTTCATGACCACCTGACATTATGGCATCTCTTCGTCTTTGCAGGGACACAATGGAGACAGGGGAGCACATGAGGCTGGTCAAAGCTGACACTGATGCTTCCAGATACGAGACCACCCGCTTGGAGGAGGAGCTCATCACGGCTCCTCTATTCTCGCTCTCCGCTTGTGAGACTTTGGATAACGACCGTCTGAATAGTGAGGAAACTCCCAACGGAGACCGAACTTATCCACAATATGGACTTCTTGGTCTACGCAATCGAGCTACTGGCAACGCACCGACACAAGATGATCTTGTGTATGCCAACGTGTCGGCACCCTGGTCTGCCTTCATCTGCGGCAGCCAAGGAAGTGGCAAAAGTCACACCATGTCCTGCCTCTTGGAAAACTCATTGATCGCATCCTCCCCTGCTGGGAAGCTGTCGTCACCTCTGGCCGGACTAGTCATTCATTATGATAAGTTCACGGCCTTTTCTAGCACACAGCTCTGCGAGGCGGCATATCTGCACTCATCAGACATTCCTGTCAGAGTGTTGGTATCCCCCACTAATTACCTTGCAATGAAAAAGGCATATGAGGCACTGGCAGACGGTTCGAAAATGCTCAAAGTTCAGCCATTGTATCTGCCCCAGAAGGATCTGAACATTGGCATGATGAAGACCCTGATGGGCATCGGCAACAGAACCGAGCAGCCCCTTTACATTGAGGTATATCAGTACACCTGTGATTTACGACGACAATGTACTAATAGGCAATTCACATAGGTCGTTATGAAGATCCTTCGGGATATGGCCATAGCCAACCAAGGTAGATCTGGATTCAACTACAGCACATTCAAACTTCTTCTTCAGCGCGAACAGTTCTTGAAAGGCCAGCTTATGCCTCTTAACATGCGCTTGGGGGTTCTTGAATCGTTCTTCGAACCTGGTTCTGTGCCTGGTGTAAGTCCAGATAGGTCAAAGAACCCTGATGTTGATGATGCCTGGAACTTTTCTCCGGGCACTTTGACAATAATCGATTTGAGCTGCCCGTTTGTTGGCCAGGAGGATGCATGCGCTCTTTTTAATATCGCGGTTTCCTTGTTTTTGAAGAACCGTCACGACACGGGTCGCATCATTGCCCTAGATGAAGCACATAAGGTTGGTGGTCTTTTCCTACTGATCTTCTTCCACACTGACACTTGATCTGATAGTTTATGACTTCAGCTTCACCTGAAGCCTCAGATCTGACAGAAACGCTGCTATCTGTCGTCCGCCAGCAGCGACATCTGGCCGCGCGTGTGCTGATAGCAACACAGGAGCCAACTCTTGCACCGTCACTGCTTGAGCTCTGCAATGTGACGATTATCCATCGTTTCTCATCTCCAGCTTGGTTCCAGGCAATCAAGTCACATGTTGCGGGAGCTGGGATTGAGGAGCTTGGTCAGAAGACCACGGGCTCGTCGTCGATTTTTCAGAAAATTGTTCGTCTTCCGACTGGAGAGGCTTTGGTATTTTGTCCAACAGCCCTGCTAGACATTATGAACCACGACGACCAGCAGAATGAGGAGTTTTCAAGTGATACCTCTGGTCGGTCAGGTACTTCATATGGCCCGTTCTGTGCAGACAGCACTCATATTTTTATTGCCACACCCGACTCGGACTCTCAAGATAAGCCAACTCCGCGTCGCGTTGTTCAGCTCGGGACAGCATATGCCCACATTCGAGTGCGGAATAGGATCACCGTTGACGGTGGCCGCAGCGTACTGGAGCGTTAAGGTGGCCCTAGGTCGAAGTGGAAATGCAAGGTGCATTTACCGTGCATGAAACCCCCCCTTTGGTTGAATTATCTAGCAAGTAGGTTTGTGTGTACTACCTGAAAGTCACAGGTGATCAATACAATCCTTGAAATTATCTCTTGATCTTTATTGTATGTAGACTTGTTTCCGCATCTAGCCACTGCGTATAATAGAAATCAGGGTGATCCACAGTCCGTTCGTAAGATAGATAACCTATCATTACTATACCCAACTTTGCTTTTACATTTGTTTACACATTCAACGTCATATTTGACGTCTTATTGGATGCTGACGACGATTATTGACTTGGCCTAATAGTAGTGGAAGTGTCGGAGAGCACAAACACACATGCTCGAGACCGAACGAGGACCTTTTTCTACGACAGTCAAGACAAGGGTTTCTCCCGACAAGTAACCTGGATACCATTTGAACTATTTAAATATTTCTCAATTGTTGTCCAATAATTGCTGTTCCGGGCTTGGGTTTATGCTTCGTGCAACTCCTTATGTACCCCAAGACCGCGTCCTAAGTAACCATTTGAAATGTAAGAGCCTCTGTGAAGGCGAGATTGACTTTGGCCTAGCAAATCGAGAGAATTCGAAGCTGATTGTTTACCTCCAAGTCATTTTCGTGTGGGGACCGGGGGCTGGTTGAGAGTGCGAAACACCTATCCCCTTGGTTTTGTGCTACTCTCATAGCAACCAAGAGGACGCAGAACACAATACTTCCGGTGTGCTTAGACCTTTCGGAGTTCTTGTCTCACGTCTAGCAAGTTATCGAGTGTAGTAAAGACCACCGATTATAGAGTACTGGTTTCAAGCGTTGAATATGGTCCATAGTTGTCTAAATATATATTTTCATGTAAGCTTAATTATTGTAAGATACTTCATATAAAAGTAGCCTTTAGGGTCTTTTCATAGCTAGAATGGCCCACTACATTAGCAACAATCAAGACGCTTCAAAAAAGCCAATCATCTCATGAATCACCGGCAATCGCCATCGAATCTAAAGGGGCCGCAGGAGTTACTCTAGGGTCCTGTGCCCTGGCCAATATCATTGCGTTCAGTGTATGAACTGGCGATGTATTATAAACGATTTTCATTGCAATACGGACAGGAACTGTGACGCGCGGCCGGTTAGAATTGAAGACGTTGTACATCATGGATTGAGCCAACAAAAATTCCCATCTGGGCCGAGAATGAAGTTGCAAGCTACCGAATCAACAGTCCTTCCTCTGGACCTCTCTGGCTGCAACACAGTAGTAAATTCACATCACAGGGACTAGTATCTGTGGTCCTCGCCTAGCTATCTTGTACTCCGACACATACCTGGGAGCACGAGGCGTGATGGATCAAGGCACCACGGTAAATCAGCTCAAAAATAAAGATTGCCATTGAAATTTCAGAAGACCCTGTGGGAGATAAGACCTTCCGTGACTCACAGAGGAACTATAAAGTATCGTGTTCCCGTCTTATATCGCCTCTGACTTGAATTCCCTCCAACCTAGCGAATATTATATTGTGGCCCGACCTTCCAAGCTTGACATATATTTCCTCGACTTACTTCACTTGATATTGGTTATCACTGAAACCAATCAATATGCGGGTTAACATTATCTCTTTCGTGGCTCTAGCTACTACAGCTACAGGTATGGGAATATGTCCAAGGGAATATAAGTAAATCTAACCGTGAAATCAGCTCTCCTTGTCACCTATCCACGGATTGGCGAAAAGATTGACCCCGATATGCCCCTTACTATCAAGTGGCAGGCTGTCGCGTAAGCTACTAGATCTTCGCGGACACTCTCAATATGCTAACTAACAATCTCATAGAACGGACCCGGATACCTTCAGCATCGAACTGGTCAATCAGAATGTCTATCCTCCGACAACAGAGGTGGTGGTAGAAGATATAGACTCTTCCAAGGGCTCCTACACGGTCAAAGCAAAGACATTCACCGGTGTAGACGATGGGTAGGTCCAATTTGATTGAACTGCTTTTTGAGCTACTGATCTGATATTCAATATAGAAAGGGATATCAGATCAACTTCATCTCTCCGACCAGTGGCATTCTGGCTCAGTCTCAGCAATTCCGAGTCACTGAGCCGGGTGCAATTGCTAGTAGCTCTGGTAAGGAAACCAGTACTGCGCTTGAAACTTCGTCTGCCTCGTTGATGTCTTCCACCGCGTCGACCAGCGATATTACTTCGATTCCTTTATCGACTGCTTCCTCTTACTTGTCTTCGACCGCTCACTCCTCCACCAGTGTGTCTACCCCTACCTCGTCCCATTATTCTTCTTCCTCTATTTCTACTTCTACACCATCTTCTCTTATAACTAGCTCTGCAAGTGCGTCTACCTCTTCCATTTTATCTTCTGTCCTTTCTACACCTGAAACGCCCTCTTATTCCCCTACTTCTCTTGCTCCAACACCATCCTCCATTTGGATATACACAACTTCTCACACCAGGACCTTAATTTCTACTTTGACGCTTACCACCTCCACTTCTTCCTCAGTCTATTCTACATCTACACCTTCTACTTCTTTTTTCGCTACAACTTCTTCCTCCATTATATCCACCTCTGCTACCCCGACTACGTCTTCTTCCATTACCACATCTTCTATGCTACCCACTCTATCCACACATTCTATCTCGACTTTCACATCAAGCACTATCTCTTCTACACCCCATTCTATTCATCTCTCCGCTACCCCTGGTTAGTAAAGGCGGAAAGCGTGGCTTCCGAGACAACATTTTGCTTTTCGCTCGACTACATTGAGAAAACAAACACTAACTCTATCTATAGGATCAACTTCTGCTTCAATCATGGCCTCGACCTCGACTAGCATGTCCACTGCAACCCATTCGAACACCACTACTTCGACCACCACTCGCCGCACGTCTTCGACCACAATCTCCACTGCGACGGAGTCGGCAACTACCACCACCAACGCTGCTGCCGTTCTCATGCCCCCTGCTGGCAGTCTGCTTCTGGGTCTACTCGCTCTGGTCCTTTAGATCCCAGTATCGGTCATTCGGATCTATCTATAGGCACCTGGCTAGGTGGGTATCCAGGAGCTTAAATACATGAGTTGGAGATAGTGCAGGTTATTTCTGGTAGTTACTTTGAACAAAGGCTACTATCTGTTGAAGTCATTATGGAAGTGGGGTTAGTTTAGTGATGATTTATTCTGCTTGATGATGTTCATGTTGATGATTTGGTCTATGGACCTATGATATGCCCCTTACATTAATGAGAAATGCGATAATGCTATGCCTGTTTTATAATTTTGGAATTATACTGTCAGTCACATCTTTGAGTTAGCCGGTACTCTATTTGCATTAAATTATGAAGAGAGATGGGTTCGAAGTTCATTTCGTAAAGAAACTGAAAACCTCAATCGCCATCTTGTTGGCTAGGTTCCATGTCAATCGGTTTCTACAAGGTTACCCTAATAAGTTCAGATATAGAATGTTTGCAAATATATGTAGTTGAATCCTTAGACGCGTAATAATATGTATAGATTTGCTAAGGGTAATATAGACGTGTAAAGATATCATAGGTGTTAGTAAAAAAGAAAAGCCACGCTAAAAAAGTGAACCACCGATTGGTAACCTCCAGGGCTTCCAAGATTGTTGAATCGAGTTCGATTTCATAGTACCTTTGGTATGGAGTTCCGCGCCATCCTGTACCTGAAAAGCGGACTATGAACCGAAAATCGAGCATCATGAGTTGACGCTATCGCTGGGTCGATCCCAAGTGCGGATATGGCCTATGTCGAAGGTTAGTATTAATTGGCCCCAAACAACCTCTTGATACACACCTTCAAGAGAGGAAGTCATAATGCAATCTTTCTGGAAGCCAAGCCAGCAGGTGGGATCTTCGCCGACGATTTTGGACTATGGGGTCTGTTAGTATTTTGCAGATGGCAATTTGGGCGCCAATCGATGCTTACCATGATTGGAGGCAAAAGAGCTGTGCGAGACCGGGGTTCCACGGGATGACTCGGCGTCTGATCGAGATTCTCATTGTACTTCTCGGTTTCATTCGAGTCCGAGCGCACACGGTTGTCGCCGCTGTCTGCGCGGTGACGGTTGGCATTCTGTGAATTTGGCAGTACGATGCTGGATCGATTTCGAGTTGAGGCTTGGTGTGCCCGAGGACGATGGAGCATTCCAACGCTGAAATCCCACAGGAGGAGGCGGCAGTCGTCGCCGACGCTACCGAACCGGTATGTCTTCTGGTCACAGCGCCAAGGGTCGAATGCTACCGATGAAACCCAGGAGTTGTGTCCTTGGCATCTGGCAACAACCTTGCGCTCGGGGAAAGACCAAATCGTCAGCAGATCATCCTGACCTCCAGTTACGATATATTTGCCATCCGGCGACCAGCAGACACAAATCAGCCCGCCATAGTAGCTGCGGAATATATCCAGTACCCTAAAAGGCGTTAGTTGGGGATTGTTTGGTTCTCTGAACTTAGGGCAAACATACTCCTCTTTCAAGTAATCCATGACCCGCAGCGATCCATCTTCGAGAACCACGGCCAGATGCCTCTGATCCGGTGAAAAGGCGAAGCTCGAGATCTTCTGGTTTGCCATTTTCCACAATGAGACCGGATTGGTCTTCTGGTTCTTGGAGGTCACAGACTTGAGGATTTCCAATGGTAATCGTCCGACTTCCTCGGAATGGCCGTTCGCCTCGGGAGTGAAAAGGGCATCATCCTTCTCCTTGTCGTACACGACCAGCACACCGTTAGCGTGGGACGCCATGAACAGGTTTTCAGACCCCGGAAGCCATTTGATGTGGGTAACGGGGGAGTTGTTGATCACGCCGTTCTTGTTGATCCGAGCGTACTTTTGCGACATGGGCTCATACCAAATAATGTCGCCCGCAGAAGATCCCATCACAATGTCCAAATGTGATAATGTCTTCGTGTATTCGTTGACGTCATGACAGAGCATGTGTGCCTTGGTGAAGAGGACTTTGGTGAGATGTTCCTCTTTTGTAGGCGAACTGAGATCAAGCCATTGGAATGCTCGGTTGATATTTGCAAAGGCAAAAATACCGCTCAAGTCACGATCGCCCAATCGCTTGGCAGATGTCTCGTGGGTGATGACTCGCGACACGAAGGAAGAGCTGCTCTTGATGATGTTGTTCTTGGGCTTCCTTCGCTTCGCTATGTCCTTCGCTGCCACCGGTGGCGCCGCAAGCGCGGGATTTCCATCCCCAAATTGGGGTGTAACAAACGACTTCAAGAAGGTCGGAGGTTTCTTTTGAGGATCGAGACAAACAAGAGATAGCTTTACGCCAGAGGTAGGGGGTGTGGGTAGCGTCGCAAGAGGGTTCGGGTTGATGATAGGAGCTTCAGATGGGTGGGGAGGGGGTGTCGCGAGGAGTAGATCATCCCGAAGGGTGTAGGTTCCTGTCGCAATATGACATGTAAGCTATCTCTGAGATTCTGAAGGAACCGGGGTAATGGGACATTAGCGATCGCTGAGCACACATACCCTCACCAACTTGCAATGGACATCCACGCTCCGGGTGCGTAATAGTATTGTTCGTTTCCACAACAGGGACTGCCATGCCATTTGCCGCCCCCGCCGCATAGGCGACAGGGATGGTATAGCGCGGAGGGGGAGGGGGAAGGACACTGCTGGTGTTAGAAAGTGAAGTGATATCTGGTATCTGAGAGTTGTGCCTCCCAAATTACGTCGGTAATAGTGAAACCAGCCTCAGATTGCAGATTAAAGGTAACCAGCGGGGAGTAAGAGGAATGCTTACAACATGACTAGACGTCACTCGTACAAGGTCAATTTGGACTTGGCCTGAGATCTGGTGTGACCAACAGCTCAACCTTGGATCCGACAAGGAAAATGCGCAAACTTTGCCAAGTCTGCGATGACACTTTAACCTTCCTGTCTCGGGTTTTATATATCGATATCTGCAAATTCTTATGTGTTGTGCTTAGGGAAATGATGGGTCGCAGGGTAAGGCTGCAGGAGGTGACAGGGAGTTAAGGTGCGCAATAAGTCGAGAATCGCGTATATATAAACTCGATAATATACTGCGTATAGTAATATCAGTATTCCAGGTTCGAAGGTTAGAGGTTTCGAGATACAAGTCGAGGCGCGAGAGAGGGGAGGATCAGCAAGGGAAACGATGTCCGGGGTAACGTTCGAGCGGAGAAGAAACGTGCCTGGGACCGGCTTAACTCCGGCTGAGCCGGCCAGCCTAACTAAATATCGTAGTCCACGGGATATACCTAGGTGTCATTTTACATTTATTCGCACATTAAACTATGGGGTATGGTATAGAATATGAAGACCTTAATTCCCGCTGCCAACTCGTCGCCAGATCATCACTGCGGCGGCGCCCGCACAAACCACCGCTCCGAGGGCGATTCCCCACGACATCCATTTGCCTTCCACATCCTCTTCACTACGCGGGAAAGCCGTGCTGGGCTCCATGGCAGCCTCGGCAATATGGACAAATACCTCCTGGATAGAACTCCATGTAACACTCACATGGAGTGGCGGACTGGGCATGTTCAGCATAGCTGTGTATTCATGAGGTTGGTGCTCGGCTCGCTGGGTCGTCCGATCCAAATCCGCCTTGAGCGCAACGAACACACTCGGGAGCTCCTCTAGATGAGGGTATTTTGCCAACAATGCTGGAATATATGAAAAGGAGTCCGGATCCGAGGAATCATACGTATACGCAATCACATCGCACTGATCCAGCACTTTGGACTTGTTCTCCAGCAAAGCAGGCTCCAGCTCACCTAGTTCATCCAGAATGAGGTAGCACTGTTTCCCACCCGGAAGTTCCACCGTGTTTACTGCAGTACGTGGTTGGATGGTAGGGTGGTAAGTCGTGCTGAATCCGCGGGAAAGAAGTGCGTCGAGCAGTGCCGATTTTCCGGATCCAGGGGCTCCCAGGACATGGCATTGGACGACATTTCGTCCCACACGGCCCGGACGGCGACGTTTTCTTCGTGGCCGTGTGATTTTCAACGCCGCGGTGATAGACTGATCGCTTTGGTCGGAGGGCTCAAAGCCCAGGTATGCCAAGTATTCGAGGGTGGTTTTTGGAGACAGGAAGGTAGTCATGCTCCACTGAGCAAGCCAGCCTTGTAGTGTTACATGTCCCGCCTCGTTGCGGACTGTGGAGGATGGGAATGAACCGTCAGCCCATGATGCGGGCAAACCCGGGGTGGGAGCAAACAAGGATGTAAGTTCAGCTTCATTCAAGCCCCCGTCATTATCCTTGTCGGATAGAAGAAAGAGGTTCACAAAGAATCGATAGCCTTCGGGTGAGAGTTCGGCAGAGGCGAACGGCGGTACTTCGAACTTTGGGTGTAAGAACTTCTCCTGCAGGGAGAGATTATCCGTGTACTGGAACGCTCGCAAGATGATCCAGACTGTTTCATGTCGCCCTTTCTCCGAGTACAATTTGTTCAGATGAATAAACCCTTGACAGTCAATTCCTGACTCTGTAACCGAGTCCGGGCAGGCTTTTTGTATAGTGTCCTTGATGTGATTGAGATCCGCTTCGTTCAATGGTTTGGAAAAGCACCGGACCTGGAAATCCTCGAGCTCTTTGTCTGATAGATATCCATCGCGATCTTTGTCGCAGAGATAGAATATCCTTTGTAAGGCTGCTACCGCAGCGGGCTTCAAAGCCGCCTCTTTGGAATCGAACAGCGGCGCGATCGGATGTGTGACAGCCTTTTGGCAAACAAAGAAGGCTTCATTAACGTTGCGATGCTCCCGAGCACTTGTACGTATGCACGAATCAATTTCTTTGAACTCTGCCATCAAAGGAAGCATCTCCTCCTCAACCACTCGCGTCTCACTGTGACCAGTCGCCAGGTCGGACTTGTTGGCACACAGGACTACCGGGACATTGACGCCCAACGAGCGGAAGTATGGCAGCCAGAACAGAGCTACCCGCTCATAGCTGTAGTGGTCGGAATAGACGAGGAGAATCACGTTACATTTCCGTATCTCTCGCGCGAGATTGTTCCGTTCCTGGGGAAGGGCCGAGGTGTCGACGACGGTCGTGGTGGTGACGTTTTCGGGGGTCCCGAGGGTAGGAGGAATGGTGATTTGGGGAAGGACTGGTTGAATTTTGTTCGTAACAAACACACCTTTGACGAGCGAGGTGATCAGACTGGACTTGCCAGTGCCCTCGTCGCCACAGACGCAAATGCGAACTGAACGAATGGCTTGTTAGCAGTGATTTGGAGATTGAGACATCCAACACACCTGATGCCATGTTTCGCGTCTAGCGAAGTCACGTATTGATCATAATCCAACCATGGCCTACCTAGTCAAGCGTATGGAGGTGGGTAAGTTCCAAGGTTCCGGATGAGACAATCGCGATATGATAATGGCCTTGGCGCCTGTGGCATCTCCGTGTACACATGTGATTGCATACAATGGCTCTACAATTCCTCTAAACACGCGAAACTATTACTTTGGCTACAATCTCTTTATTCTTTTTTATATAAAAATATCTAAGTTTTAATGAACTCCCATTTTTGCCAAGCAATGCTCGTTTCGCTTCGCCACAGACAAGAAATCCCATAATTGGCAATATATATAAAATATCAAGGGCTACTAATGAGGATGTTTGACCTAGAATTAGCGATCTAGGTACAAGTAGTTTATTTAAATTATCTCCAGGGCTGTAATTTTGTATCTATTAATCTAGCCTCCGACTTCTGCGAGGTACGTCTTGAGCCTCCGAACCGGTGTCCCGCGTCAGCCGTCATCACCTGGGCAGGCCCACACCCAACTGACTAAACGTTACCCTCAAGACATCAAGAGTTTCCCTTTCTCCTTCCCCCAGTCGAGTTTTCGTTCCTCCTACCTCGATAATCACCATCCAAGATGGGTTTCGGAATCAACAATCCGTTGCCCTCGTCTATGGCCAGTAAGTTTCCTCAATCCCCAAAGCCCACTTCCCCGCAGTGGTATGCGGCATATCCGGCTGACAGTGGATTCTCTCTTAACAGGCGAGTGCAAAAAGGCAGCAAAGATTTTGACATCATTCGTTGATCCTAGGCAATCATTCGGGCCCGACAAGGTCATTCCGCCAGAGATTCTAGCCAATGCAAAGGTAAGAACCCCGTCAGGCCCCAGTTGCGGACATCCATGGCTAACAAACCATTTCCCTTAGGGTCTCGCTGTCCTCACGGTTTTGAAGGCAGGCTTCCTAGGCTCCGGTCGATTTGGCTCCGGCATCGTTGTCGCTCGTCTTGCCGACGGGACCTGGTCGGCTCCATCAGCTATTGCTACTGCAGGTGCCGGAGTAGGAGGACAGATCGGGTTTGAGTTGACCGACTTTGTTTTCATTCTCAACGATTCCGCTGCTGTTCGCACATTCTCGCAAGCTGGAACACTAACACTAGGTGGTAATGTATCACTCGCTGCTGGGCCGATTGGCCGAAATGCCGAAGCTGCTGGCGCAGCCAGTACGAGGGGCGTTGCAGCTGTCTTCTCCTACTCAAAAACCAAGGGTCTATTCGCCGGTGTCAGTCTCGAAGGCAGTATGCTGGTGGAACGCAAGGATGCGAACGAGAAATTGTACCGCAGTCGAGTCTCCGCGAACCAACTCCTCACCGGCAGCGTTCGCCCCCCACCGGCCGCAGATGCTCTAATGCGCGTACTGAACTCCCGTGCATTCCAAGGAAATACGCGGGCCTATGGTGACTCCATGTACAATGATATCCCTATCTATGACGAGAGCCATGACGACGTGGTCTGGGAGGGACGCAAGGGCGAAGCCTACGGTCAAGGTACCCAGCGTGGTCGATCCAACACTGAAAATGATTACGACTACCGCGATAAGCCGCGCCGTGCGAACACCTGGGCTGATGATGTTTATGATCGGCCTGCCTCGGGACTCGGCCGTTCCGCAACAACCCGGTCCCCTGCCGGCGATTCATTCGATAGCTATGGACGCAACCGGAGTAACACTGCGCCATTCGAGGAGGAATATGTCTATTCGGATCGCAGACCTACCCGTCCAACTGCTCCTAAGCCTGTCTTCCAGCAAAAGACTGGTGCAGCCCAATTGCGATCAGACCAAGCCGTTGCCCTTTTCACATTCGATGCGGATCAGGAGGGTGACCTTGGATTCAAAAAGGGTGAAATCATAACCATAATAAAGCGCACGGAGAAGGCGGAAGACTGGTGGACTGGTCGGATTGGTGATCGCGTAGGCATCTTCCCCAGGTAAGAGCAGATTCCTCCCACTTTCTCAAATCAAATCGATGGCTAATTCATTTGCAGCAACTATGTTGACGCCTCCTAAGTCTCTGCGTGTCCAATGCTGGTTCATGTAGCACACACTGTGATGAACTCTTGATGCACATTTTTCCGGGGCTTGATAAACGTACATTTCCCCGGTTCTTACCCTACATATATCCTGGCGTATGCGGATTCGTCAAACTCTTTCCATTTCCATTCTTTCGTTTATTTATGTTCAAATGGTGCCATTTACATTCTTCAGCGTGGAGTTTCTCATCATACTTTTTCCTCGTTCTGGGGGCTTGGGGATACTGTCATTTGGATCTTTTTGGTTTTATGCAAAGCATTTCCCATCTGGTTATGATTTCCCCCGAGGTTTTGTTTTCCAGGCTTTGTTCCATCTATGCCTCATCAGTCTCTTAGTATCTTAGGTTGAATAAATTTTTCGGTTCCAGTTCGGTGGCCTGGGCTGACAGTTTGAGTTTGATAACATCACAATCCCATCTCACGCCGTTGGTTGAAATTTGCGT